ATAGTCGTAGGCCACCTAACAAAAGATCCTTAATGTGAGCAGATGTAGCCGCTTTCAAATAAAATGCTGTTGAATGCACTTGAAACAAATGATTCAATGCTACACTACAATCGATTCCGCTTCCTATTTTTATTAACAAATTTCCATTACTTTTTTCGATTAAAATGGTGAATCCTCACGGTAAAGTTCACAAAGATCATCAGCGGCTTGTCTTGCTGTTTTCATAGCGCTCAAGCACGATTGAACATTATTGATAAGTTGTTGTTGCTCCTTTTTATTTGAAGTCACCTGACTCCCAGTGAAATTTGCACCAGGAGCAGAACTTATTAAATCTATTGGTTGGAGAAAACGTGACGGCGTAACACCACGAGTAATTTCGATAGATGGACCGAGGACACGCGTCGCATGTTCTTCAAGTGTTTCATTAGCGCACCGTAAAGAAGCCGATTGAGATGCAATAAATGAAGAATTGTTATCAGGCAGAAAACTAACCATAGTGCGTGGTGATAGAAAAGGCGTAGGTGATGATGCTGATGATGGAGCACATGATGACGAAAGAGTCTTTTTATGGTTGCGTGTGCTAAACCGATGCTCATATTGAGTTTCGGCAGAAGAACGGGATTGGAAAGGCTTCAGTGTAACATTGTGAAGTCGTTTGCAAGCTTGATCAGCATATTCTATGTCGGCATCCGATGCAAAACCAACATAATATACATTTCCCTTCGACGATTGCCGCTTGTCATAAGATACGAGGCGCAATTTCGACTTCAATTCTTTAGTATATTTGTTCGTGTACAGAACACGTTGGTACTTCTAGACCTAGTAAATTAAATATCCTTTAATTATATAAACTATCCGATTCCAATATGTACATCATTTCATCACCTTATACTCAAAACATTCATACAAAAGCAACGCATGTCATCAAAATCGTGTAACTTTGGGTGATTAATCGCGATATTTTAAAAGATCTGCGATTGATTGCAATTAGAGAAAAAAAATCACCAATTCATTGCGATTAATTGGCCATTTTGTAACGAACATACGAAAATGAACCGTCAATCTTTATTTGAATTAATCATTCTTTTTTGTTTTACATCATTTAATCATCACAACAAACAGTAAGTATCACTTTATTAAGAAAAACTTATGCAATATTTATTGTGAATGCGGAGAAGAAAATCAATCTCTTGATTTACAAGAAATTGTCATTTCAAGCCATTGAATCGCAGTGTAATCGCGATTTTCTCTAAGATAGCTACAAAAATCGCTCGTTGAGCCGATTTATCACAACCTTCTCAAAAAATCGAGAAATATATTAGAAGAAATTGCTAATATTGACGAATAATTGATCCCATAAATCACGATCATATCACTGAGTTTTGCGCGATTTTGATGACATAGGAACTTTATCAAGGAATTTAATTTTAACATGTTCATTAGGCTTACTAATTTTCAAATGTGAGAACAATTCAAAAAATTTCTCATAAAATCCAACTTTTATGTTCTATATATTAATTTCAATTCTGCTCGCTTTTATTCTACAATAGTTCACTCAAAGCTTTTTTTCAATCTTGAAAAGATTTAATATTCTCCTTATTACATACCACTTCTTTTTCTATGAATGAGTTGCATGCTTTTTTATTTTTGACGCTATTATATATATTCATCTAAATAATCGATTTTGAATAGAAATTCAATTGAATATTTTTTTCTACAGAACGAGCTCTGCTTTATATTACTGGTTTATTTGTGCTATCTCTACTGATTTCCTCTTTTGAAGTTTTTCACACTATCTTCTTTTTCAAATCTAAAAAAAACTTAAATGTGTCTTTTACAAAATATAGTCTTTTCTTTATAAGAATTGCTGTTTTCTTTCAATGTATTTCAAATTATTGTATTTACCAAATTTTTTAACTTTGGAAAACGATTGACTCTTTTCTTTTCTCTACAAAACGAATTCTATTATGTAACATCTGAGTTTTATGCTGTTCCTTTGATTGCTTTTCAAGAGACTGAATTAATAGCTTCCTTCTCAAATCTGAAAAATATTCATCCTTTCTATCACATTTTACAGTTTTTTTCGTTATATTCAATAGTTTTTCTCTTTTAATATATTTGATGCTATTACATTTACTCAATTTATTAATCTTCACATAAAAAATGGTTGAATTTTTGCTTATTCTATAAAAAGAACTTTTTTCACGTTAATATTATAAGTTTATGTTTTTCCTTTGACTACTTTTTAAGTTATTCAATAAATGTCTTCTATTATGAATCTTGAAAATATTTATTCGTTCTATGACAAGATACAAATTTCTCTTTATATTTATTCGTTTTTGTCTTTCAATGTCTTTGTTGATATTATGTGATATTGGAAATGCAATTTCGAATAAAAATTCAACTTCATTCATTTTAGTAAAAACGGTTCACCATCTAGAGACATCACTTAATTTACCTCTACAATTGATATTATTCGGTGTGGTATGTTTATTCATTTTTATCAATGATGGCAGTACATCAATTTTGTCACTGTACAAAGACGATCTCTGTTTAGCTGGTTTAGTTTGTTTTTGACTGTTCAATAATATTATGTTAAATATATATACTTTCTTACCCGGTCACGATGTATATTTGTTCTTTTAAATATGAAACAGCTTTCCATTTATAGATATTAGGCCCGTCAATTTTATATATCTCGTCAGAAGCTAAAAAGTATAAGTGCTAGTATCGATTCGAAAATTCGCTTAAACGTTTAGATAAATATCGTCTTTTCAAACATTTCAGTTGTATTGTTTCTTTTTAAATATACTATAGATAAGATGTTTTCAATTTACTTCCGGTACCAAAAAAATTTTTTTTTTCATAAGAAGTATTTTCTCTTTTATAGATTTTTACTCGTTCGGTCTCTCATTCATCGTCCTATATTCTATCGGATTTCGTATGAAATCTTGCATGAAATTGAATTCGATTTCAGATAATAGAACATTTTATGTATTTGATTACCTCACTGCTAATAATATTTGGTCTCACTATCCGATGTAAAAAAAATTTTCTATAAAATGTCGCTCGGTTACTATATATACAGTATATAATTAGATATATACATGTTTATTCAACTGTTGAGATACACGACTCTAATTATTTCGATTCTATATTCAACGAAACGGTCTCCTAGATCGATGTATAAATCATATGGTCTGTCATATTGATAAATCATATTGTGGTTTATTCGAGCCACTCGTGTTCACCACACTGCGAATCATATTGCTAGTCGGAGACTAGACTCATATATACTTACGAAATCAAATAAGCGATTGATACACCAAAGATAATAAAAAAACAACTTGCTATGAATCTATAGCAATAATAAATATTTCTATTTCATGAAAAAAAACGACTTGCTTGTTTGTTGAGTGCTGCTTTTTCTGTCTCTTGGAATAAGTGAGGTACCGTCGAAATATTGCAATTAAAATGAATGATTCGATGACCGAAATGTAGTATCTTATTTATAGAGAAGTTGTTCTTTTTTTTCTATCGTCTCTCTTAACTTGCTCAGCGCGTGTATATCTTTACTTTACTTTTTTTTTCGAAGTTGAATGAAGCATCGACTATGTTCTTCTGACAACCAAACAATTAATCAGCACTTCAATCATATATTCGTCCTTCAGCTAGTTTCGTGATAGAAATCTGTTTATATTAAAATTTATCTCAACATTATTAACGCATCTTCATTTCCATTGCATACCTGCAGTGAAAAGACGATTATCACGTACTTCAGATGATATTCAAGGTCTTGCTATCGCTATTACAAATTTTTTTTTCATTTCAATTCATCAATAATTCTTCAAGCACTATAGATTATTATGTTGAATGTATCAACTAATACTAAAAAATAAAGAGATAAAAACTTTCCATGAACTACTTGTAGTCTACACAAATTAAATTGTCACGATTAATAAAGGACATCATTCTCAATATTTTTGTTCCACATAATAATCCGATAAGTTAAAAATGTTAGTTCGTCAAATAACGATAAACATTGGAAAATGTCTTTTCATTGATGCAATAAAAATATTCAGAAAAGTACGATTTAAGTAAGCGATTGTTTTTGTTCTCACAACTCAAACAAGTAAGATGGGCTATTTTCTAGTAAACTAAACGATCTTTTTTCAGACGGCCTCTCTTTCTTTTATAATAGTCAACTATATCTGATTAGACTGAAATGCAGCTAAATGAATACGATTAATGTCGATCGATTATGTTTGGGTTATCGGTTCAGATTTTATCAGTAATTTGCATTATATTTGTACTCTACGACAGATGTGGGCTAATGATAGGTTAAAACATAATCAACCATTGCTTGACTCATCCATTAACTTACTACTTTTGATGATAGAACTATATTAGATAACAAAGGAAAATAAAACTTTTTTTGTGAAAACATTAATATAAAGGTACAACTCATCTATCTTAACAACATTGACTGTATTACATGACATTTGTCATCAATAATCTTGATTTAATTTCAAAACAAAGCATTACTCATCAATATCTCTCTATTTAGCATGAAATCGTAAAATTGAAATATCTATATGAGGCTATAAAAGATGACAATAAGCTAATTGTCGAGATTGTTTACTCGTTAAAGTGTTTCAAATAAGATGAGATTCACCGATAAAAATTGCTGCGATGATTCTACTCATAAATTCAAGTATCGTGTAGCTTACATAACTCACATGCAATGAAGAGTCACAATCAATCATCAATGAATTCTCCTTTAATGTTTTCACTAGTGAACTTGATTTGTGTTTCTGGGCATAAGAATCACACGACAAACACTAATGGTGCTTTAATCAATACTACTTTAACTTTTTGATCATCAGTGATGAAATACATCAGAGAGACATATAATAGAACAACGTTTTTCATTCTCATGATATTCATGTTATGTTAATGAGAGTCTTGGAAACTCTAGCTATTTTTATTGTTAATAATCTTCATAAGAGATATTTTGCTTGCTAATATTTCAATATTTTGGAAAAGCGTTTTATATTAATAATCCAATGTACACAAACAACTGAGAGACTTACCTTATTATTTAGTGCATCAGTGGAACTTAATGAAAGCATTCAGTTCAAAATAAAAATTTCCAACCTAGTCCTCATGTTTATTCGCACTGTTTCGCTTCATATTAACTATTTAGTTGTAAAATCTTTAGTAGAATCAAGTGAATCTGCATAAGAAAATCAATAGTAACATATAAAACTTTCTTGCTCTAAAACGAAAAGTCCTTCAACTTTAGTTTGCTACAGCATCATTCACCATCATACATAACAGATAGTAGATCCTGTTTGAGAAAGACATGGTATGCACTGAATAAAAATGAATAAAGTTTTTTTACTATCAAGGTGTGGGTGTGGGTGTGGGTGGTTGTGGGTGTGAGTATGGGTGAGTGTAGGTGTGGGTGTGGGTGTGGGTGTTGGTGTGGGTGT